CTAGCTGATATGGACCGGGGGGGGGTCCATATCCGCGGGGAGTCCAAATCCGCATGGTAGATATACTGTATAACTAGGGGCTCTGGTTATACAGCATATCCACCTAACTACAGTGACATACACGCGTAAAAATCTTACAACATGCGTTCGCACTGCTTGTTCCCAGTTGTTGACAAGTCTGGAACAACTTGTTGTCATCTTGTAACAAGGTTCATGAGGCCAACAGAATCGCAACAAGTTGTTTCAACAAGACTGATACAATCTGCACGTAACAAGTTGTTTTATCAACTTGTTAAAACAAGTTGATGACAACAAGCTCGTAGCAACTTGTTGCGAACTTTAGTCTTGTTGGAACAACTTATAGCAAGTCTGTTATCGTCATCAACCTTATAACAAACAGGGTTTTTTTCCGGATTTTCTCTTGGGTCCGTTTTTGCAGAGAAGATTGAGTTTAGCTGAACAGCTGGGGTAGCTGCATCCCCCCCCTCCCTACCAGGGGGGCTGACACCTGTACTCAATAAATGTAGTTGAGACGGAATGTATTAAAGCAGGGGCACTCTAAGGGACACTATAAACTGGTCAAAGATGGCGAATGCATAGTTTTTCTTGTGTTGTGAGATGAATTCTTAATTAATTGTTGGGCTTCCAACTGAAAACTAATTCCCACACGTACGAAATTTAACTCAAACAACTTCATTTTTACTGCACTGAAACTTTGGTAAGAAGAGTGAGTTTCAAAACTCAATTTAAGATTGAGTTTTTGGGGCCGTTTAACGGCCCTAAAAAGTCCCTGAAAAAAACCTGAACAAGGTGATAACAATTTGTTCCAGACTTGTCACAACAACTGGGAACAAGCAGTGCGAACACATCCTGATATCGGCTTGACAACAACCTTGTTACAACTAGCTTGCTCACTGCTCAAAGAGTTTAGAACTGTCAGACGTGAAATTAACGACTCGTTTTTGTAAGCTACTGAGTACTGTGTTTTTAAAGGCACGAAAGTCACTACAACGCCATCTTTCCTTATATCGTTGCAGCTTGCGCATGAGTTTGGTTTCAAGTTTTTTGAGACAAGTGCGAAAGACAATATTAGTATACAAGAGGTAAGAATAGGCAATTCCAGATTTTAATTTATGCACGCAAGGAGTGACGGGAAGTGAGGTGTCATATTGCTGATATAACCGAAATATTTCAATATTTACAAGTATAAGCTATCACTCCGTATCATAGATATCTTATGTAAACTAGATAGCGCATCTCTTTTAGTAAAATTGAAGCCAAGAATATTCCAGCGGTTACCCCCATTTGAATGGATGGCGGCCATGTTGGAGTTTCCCACTCGCTAATAAACGCTTAAAAAACAACAATAACTTTCATCATTTGAATAGTTTGAAAATGTATTTAGAATAGGTTTAACTTAATGTTTAAGTTCCCTGTTTAAGAAATAGAAAACATACGAGTCTTCTCATCTCATGGGAATATCCTGATTCTGCAATCACGGCTTCAATTTTTGAATTGCAGAATAATTAGATGCACTATCTAGTGTATGTAAGATATCTATATGATACCTAAAATTTTCCATATGAAGGTTTTATCCCACCTGACAGGCATGGACATTTTCTTGCCGATTTTGATCTATAATATAATCTTCAATTTTACTTTTAGGTTTTCGAAGAGCTAACTACGGACATGAAAGATGCAAATAATCCATATTTTGTATGTCTCGTTGAATTGTTATATTTATACAGTCCTCGCAATTTTGATAAATCCTTTTCGGCAAAACATTTCGTCGATATTTACCAATTTACCTTATACCATGGCATCACTTTGGTATCAACTTGGGATTAGAGCTCGACAACTGGACTCTGCATGTAGCTCTGTTGCAATGCATGGATTTTTTTATAGTTCGGGTGTGCATTTTTTCAGATAAAGCACTAAACATACTTTTTAAATTGAGAAAACATGTCGAAAAAATACAAATTTTGAATGAACCACAACTGGTATTTTATACTCATCAGTTTTGAGCGCGTGTTATGTAACATACAACAAAATCCCATCTTAATATAACTTTCAAATTCAAATATAGGTTGCAACGGTTCCAGACCCAAGGTTTCAAAACGTGGGCATGGCAAAAATCGAGGTAGTTTCAAGTGACGTGACGGACGGTAGATTACGTGTAGTGGATGCTGCCAAACCTTCGACGTCCTATTATTCATGCTGCGGTAGCTGATGTGAAGATATTACAATTTAGGAATTTTAGTGGTTGCTCATATGAGCCGGGCCAGCCCGGTTAACTGGGATGAATCGTGTCACGAAACTTTATTCCTGACCATAAAAGATCGTTTAAATGATTTTTTAAGCCGGTTACAGACGAGCAAGTTTTCTATGAGAAGTTTTTATGTGACAAGTTTTATTTGCCAAGTGCACGTGTGTATATGCAACAAATTTTATATGACAAGTTTTCATGTTTTCATATGAAAAGTTTTATTTACTGGTATGAACGTATCAACCAGGCTCGTAGCTGAGGGGGGCCCGGGGGCAGTGCCCCCCCTCCCCCACTCGGAAATAAATTGAAATTATGCCCCCCCCCCTTATTCCACATTTTTTGCCATGACATACAGTACTACAGCGACCGTAGAAGATTAATACTTGAGGCTTATAGTCCGGCATACTCAATTTTTGTATGAAAATAGATTGCTTGTGGCCTAAAATATATAACCTCATTGTTGGAAGCTAGGCTAGATAGCAGACGACTGAACTAACCCTATACAGAACTTTAAAGACTCACAAAATTGAGCACAAGTATAAATTACTTTTACAGTGTGGAAGAACGTTCGATCCGTTCGATCCCAATTTTTCTGAGCTGGAAAGGAAAACTAGCTGCTAGCACGAAAGTCAAAATCATCCCAACCCCTCTGTTACATTCTTTCTGCAGTGCCCCGCCCCCCAGAAATTGAGAGCCAGCTACGGGCTTGGTATCAACAAGTTTACTTTGACAATTTATTAGTAGCCAGCTGGCCAATCACATCAAATGCTCAGATTACCTTGACAAGTTTTCTTTGTTGACCCATACAGACGAACAAAATTTGTACTTTGACAATTTTTTCTATGACAAGTGCACTTATTCAAAAGCTAGTATGCTACAGTAGCTGCGCGTACAGACGAGCAAATAAAACTTGTCACATAAAAACTTGTCATAGAAAACTTGCTTGTCTGTAACCGGCTTTTCTGTTACAGGAATCAAACTATAAGCTAACTCAACTTTGAAATGTCATTTTGGAGCTTTATCAAATGAATCATCTCGGTGAACCGGGCTAGCCCAGCTTCATATTGATACGAAGCCTTTTAATTGCACACTGACATACAAGTGCAACAAAAGTTCGTCGCCACATGGCTGCTTTGGCTACTTGGCATGTTACATTAGCATTTTGAAAGTGTGATTACTTTAGCTAATTGGGGCCATACACAAAATACGTGACGCTTTTTTTTCTCGGTTTCGGCCTGCATTTTAATAACTCGCGACAGACTACAATTCATGTTTTTTTTGGATTGAGCCTTTGTGATGTAATGTCAGCGATCTCTCTACTTCACGGTACTGAAAATACTTCATGCCAGTTCCAATACACAGTATCGTTTTTCGTGATATGGATTCCACACTGATAAATTCTCCTCTCTCCATCATTTGACTGTGCTTTGTGGTTCCCCCTCTCCTCTTGGACATTATGTGACTATTGTTCCATCACCACCTAAGCATCACAAATTTTGTATACGGCGCCGATAGCCCCTTTTGAACGGGTTAGGATAAAACGCCGATACGGACGGATGGATGGCGGACGGACGGACGGATGGTAAAACGCGGATATGACTGTTAAAAGACATTTTGCGAGAATATTAGCCATCCATCCGTCCGTCCGTATCCGCGTTTTATCCTAACCCCTATTGAACAGCGTGGCTGCTGTAACTACGGGGGCACTTTTCGCAATCCTTTCCGGCTGACCCTGACCTTCCGAACCATTTTAATGTTTGTACAGCCTTGGGCAACGTTCTAATAATAGTAAGAAAGATTGATTTAAAATTATTTAATGTCTCACCCTCATGCATGCAAACGTTTCCCTAACGCTGACATACCTATACAACAAACGTGACTATGTAGCCATGTAGATTCACGTAGTTTTGTGCAGATTTTTCCTATTCGCACGTAGTAACCTAGTACAATATTTGCATCCAATAACTTATTCGGATTGTATAGAGTTAAGGTTGGCTGTTGTGCCAGGTAGGGTCATTTCACATATACGTGTGAAATTACAAACCTAGTGATTGTTGAGCTAGGATGAAACGAGGGTGAGTGCTTGAGAGTTGACAAGTCACGCGACATTGGTTAGCTGTTCGTAATAATGCTCTCCCAACACTATCATGTATTCTGTTGAAGTTAAAGTTGGAATACTTATATCAAACCTTTATTTTGTTAATCTAGAGCTTGAGATGTCCCCGTAACAATGCGTGACCAACTCTCATGCAACTCAGTCTCATCCACGTTTGACTCGGGGGCTTTAGTTTAGACGTTGTATAAAAATATTCTGCGAATTTCTAATCAGCAATTTGAATAGTGAATGGAAATGGCGATGTAGTATGTATTATATTCATTGACCGCAGAGCCAGACGTAATTTTTAATATATTTCTTTAATGACAACTAGTGTAAATGTTATAATTGTATAACTGGATTTGCAACAGACACTTACAGATAAAATACGTCAAGAGTTCCGATACAAATACTCGGGGCATTTATATTAAATCATTCAATGTCTCAAATTTGCCATCGTTTTCGTCGAATTTTCTATGAGCGTTGAACACAAAGATTATTGAAATGCCTACTGTAATACGTGGAAATATGGCATTCATTTTAAGCAAAACCGGTTTGAATATTTGTCCGGGCACTTGAAAACTGGCAAATGACCGGTTTTCTGCCAAGTATTATTAATTTAATACTGATGCGAGACATCTCACGTGAAGCGTTGCAACACAACACATTCAACACAACAGAAATATGTACGAAATACAAACGCACGCCTGCGTTTGGATAACTTTGAAAGACTCGGCACGTCTTGCTGCCAAGTTATGGACACCCGTGGCAAAAGCTGGACAAGAAAATGAGAAATTCCCAGCAATTTTGGGTAAGATAATTCGCATCAGTCACATGCGTGAATTTTTATAATCTTACGACTTTAACACTTGATTTAATAACTCGACAATTTGACACGCAAATGTGTTAAAATTAAACACGAGGGTCTTTGAATGAACTAAAGGCTAAAACCAGAGCTGCCAAGTCTCACGGCTATCTTTAAAACGGGGAAGGGAATGACCGGGGAATGGTCAGGGAATGGCCGGGGGATGGTCGGGGAATGGACGGGGAATGGACGAAATCGGGAAAAAACCTAACATTTTGAAGATTTTTGATTAAATATTTTCATGAATTGTTTTCGTTGCGTTATGGCAAGTGTAGCATTGAAGTAAATCGAAATTACAGTAGTAGGATTTCAGGCGACCGAAGCTATGTTGTTTGCCGTGTAAATGACGTAGTTCCTTTCTTGGGAGAGAGTGAGAGACCAAGGCTCCCACGCAATTGTATTATATAAGATTGTGCTTTACTTTAATAAATAGTTCGCTACTCTGGCTTTGACTCCGCGCACTTGTTTTGCATTGACATTATGCTCGGCACGTTACAAATATTAAAACATAGCTATAGTAGACCCTACTAGACCGCAATAAAATATTTTTTTATTAATGTAGATGTTTATACGATCTTATCATTCTTATGTTGATTTATTGTTTGCGTGAATAAAACAATATTCATACAAGTAATCAGCCGATCCGCACATTATAAGCCAACTATTGGTATATTGTAACGCAAGACAATGCCATTAATATATTGGGATTGAACTTTACGCATATTTATACTCCTAACCCACAGCCCCAGCTCTAATTCTTGCTCTCTCTTTTTGTCTGATTTTTATCAGAAATGTACCAAACAAGATAAAATATTTGTATGATTGTATCCAATAACCTTATTGGCAGTGTTTAGAGCTGGGGCTGTGGGTATAAATATGCTTCAAAAACTCAATAATTCATGAAGCAATTATCCAATCTTGAGTAAGAAATTAGTCACGTGCATACGTCTTTATACCAGCTAAAGAACACTTTAACAAAAGACCATTGTTATGCAAACTATATAAAGATTTTTATATAAAGATTTTTATATACTGAAGATTTGACTTATTATGCAAATGTTTTTGAAGTCATTTAAAAAACTCGCAGATCGTGTTTTATTAGGTCTAAAGCCACTCGCGCTGCGCGCTCGTGGCTTTAAACCTAATAAAACACTCCTGCTCGTTTTTTAAATAGTACGTAAAGTTCAATTCCAATATGTTAATGATTGTCTTGCGTTTTACCAATACTTTTGTTGGCTTATAATGTGCGGATCGGCTGATTACTTGTATAGTTAACACTGACGAATATTGTTTTATTCACGCAAACAATCAACATAAGAATGATAAGATCGTATAAACATTTACATTAATAAAAAATATTTTATTGCGGTCTAGTAGGGTAGCTATGTTTTATAGCTATGTTTTAATATTTGTAACGTGCCGAGCACAATGTCAATGAAAAACACTTGTGCGGAGTAAAAGCCAGAGTGGCGAACCATGTATTAAAGTATAAAGCATAATACAAATTTTGCGTGGGAGCCTTGGCCTCTCCCAAGAAAGGAACTACGTCATTTACACAAACAACATAGTTTCGGTCGCCTGTAATCCTATATTACTGTAATTTCGATTTACTTCAATGCTACACTTGCCATAACGCAACGAAAACAATTCATGAAAATATTTAATCAAAAATCTTCAAAATGTTAGGGTTTTTTCCCGATTTCGTCCATACCCCAGCCATACCCCGGCCATTCCCCGGCCATTCCCCGGTCATTCCCGGCCATTCCCCGGTCATTCCCCGGCCATTCCACGGTCATTCCCCCGGTCATTCCCTTCCCCATTCCCTTCCCCGCTCCGTTCCCCCATTCCCCGTTCCCCGTTTTAAAGATAGCCCAAGTGGCTCACGGTTTACCCGTGAGTCTCCAGGTTTTCGCGCTGACCTCCAGGTCTCACGGTGGGTCTTGAAAATCTCACGGAACCATTAAAATGGCTTTACTGTATGCATGGATTCTGCATCTATGCTCTGAAAAAATTAAACATACAATTTGCGAAAGTATCGTCTGTTCTTTCGAAAGAAAATCTGTACGTATTTGTAAAATGACACTCTGTTAAAAAAATTAGTAGCGTGGCTATTTGAGAAAACTTTGATTTGTGATTTGACAAGATTTGTGATCTTGAAGTATAACATCATCTAAACGTGAATTATGTGTGTGCGCGAGCTTATCTTTTATTACACACGCATATATGGCAATCTGGTTCCCCAGCATGCCCGGTCAACAATAATATAAAGTCAGCAATTTATACATAATTTGATTAAAATTTTTCATTGTGCTAATCTGTATATGGCTATCGCTGTCAGGAGGACGGGGGATACATACTACGAACTAAAGGCCCCAACAACCTCCAGGTTTTTAATCATCTGAACTTGGCAGCTCTGCTAAAATATTGTATTAATACTATCGTATTATTATACATGTGCCGAATTCAAATCAAGAATGTACGTCGTCTGGAGCCCCTTTTTAAGACGGCGTATTTTTCATGTGCCGAACTTTTGGGGCGACAGAAGTTGCCGTACCGACCCAGCGTCGCATCTAATACAATTAAATTCAACAAATTCAGTGAATTGCGAACTTTACATGTGCCGAATTTTGTAAACAATGCCAATATCTGAATGTACGGGTTGGGATAGAACACGGATCCGGAATTTCGGAAGATCTGGAATTCCGCGCGTGCTCTCCGCGAAGGTAGACCAGTCCCTAGTCCTGAATAGGCGTACTAAGAGGCCTAGGTACTAGGCTGCCGCGAGGGTGTAATCATTCTCGTACCCAGAGCCCTTCTTACACGCGGTGAGGCGAGGGGCTCTGGCCAAATCCATAACCGGATACCATAGAAACATGGTAAGAAAACAATGTCCGGTGTTAGAACTAGCCAATCGGATACCAGTTCGGAATATGGATTTGGCCAGAGCCCCTCGTCGCACCGCGCGTAAGAAGGGCTCTGGGTACGAGAATGGGGTGTAATCACAGGAGCCTGGGCATTAAAAACAGGAATATTGCAAGTCGAGCGTTTCTCTGCTTTGAAAAACACGTACGTACAGCGTGCACAGTCTTGACTTTAGTTTCAAAAAAGTCTTTATTGAAGCTTCAAAAACCCTTAATAACTCATGAGGAAAACACAAAGAAAAATCACAACTCATAAGCGTGTCGTATCATCCTCGTTCCCAGAGCTTCTCGGCTGCCTGCGTTGGCAGCCGAGAAGCCCTGGGAACGAGGATGGTGTCGTATCTTTATATATGATAGAGATTTCCCTTGTCACCTTGATTTACATAAACTTTAACTTTGATTTTCTCAACTTTATTATTTAAAACATTCGCAGTGCGCGTTTTATCAGACCTAAAGATACTCGGCTTCGCCTCGTATCCAGGGGCGTAGCATGACCTTTTTAACTGGGGGGGGGGGGGTAACATCTAAGTTTTACCGACCCACGCGCCACGAGGCGCCACCATGGTTGGCGCCGAGCGGAAACTTTTTGAAAATATGGAGTCTCTAGATCGTTGAAAATGGCATTTTCAGAGCCTTCTGTACCTTATACACACAAGGTTTGGTAGCATTTATTTATATCAAACAAAACCATATTGTTGAAGTTGTGTTATTTTCGAAATCCGTGAGAATCCGTCAGATATTAACAAGCTGTGAGACTGTGAGTGTGAGCTCACCGTGAGGTTTTATTAGAATCCGTGACCGCCCCTTATACGCTACATATAACATATACCATAACAGCTATACAGCAATTGACAAATAAATATTTCGGCGCGCGTTTAATTTAATGACACTTACCGTGACTTTAGTCAGCCGTCTAGAAATAACGTAGAACCAGAAACGTAGCAAACGCTTTATTAATTGGAATAAATGAATAATTGTTGTCTTTGTTACTTCGCGATAAGTCATTTTACCCAATGACATTTATCTTGTTGTTTATTCTAATGAACAGACTTGAAAAATTGGCGAAACATTTTATGAGCACCGCGTGTCAATAACAAATATATAAATATAATCTTTAATTCTTTTGCGTATCATTGTATCAAGGTCAAAAGTTCGCGCACAGTTGAACATGTCCAATCAGAACCGACTGTTTTCGCAGCTCTTGCAAGTGTAATACGATAGGAAATTAGGGGCTCCAATGCTTATGCGTAGCATAATATATAAGTGTTTTAATACTGAAGAATTACGTACATTTTGCATAACTTTATTGGAGAACAAGGCACAACATTAATTTAATTTTTTTTTATTATTAAAAGCCATTTACCGAGGAGCAAAATTCCACTTTAACCGATTTGTTTTACCGACCGCTGTCATGGCTCTTGCCATTACCGAATAACTTCGCGTTTTACCGACTACTTCACTAAAACTGGGGGGTGTCACACCCCCCCACACCCCCCCGCACGCTACGCCCCTGCTCGTATCTTTTATACAGTATCTGATAAAACACTGTTGCTCATGTTTTAAATAATACTTAAAATACTCATTCAATAATTCATGAAGAAAATTCAAATGAAATGAATGTTTAATCAATGATAATGACAATCTTTGTAAATCGGATAAAGATTTGTCCTGATTTACATAAGTTTCAGCTTAGATTTTCGGCTCGGCTTAGCCTTAGACAATGTTTATATATCGTCCTTTAGGCTTTATACGCGTGAATCTCTCAAGCCTCTGTGTCCGACCCAAACTCAAGGTCATCAGACATTTTGTCAAGATATTTTAAGGAAAAGTCCGAAGCGAGAGCCCTGCGCCTGGCAGTCACTCATCCTTATTAAAATGATATGAATTTTAGAGTATCTGCCGTATCGTCGAAATGACATGACGTCAATGCGAGACGAGAAACGACATTCATGGATGTGTTCTCATGGATATGTGATGATTCGTGTGGATATGCGTGGTTCCGGAGACTCGGATGGGCTATGCTATGGTGAATATGAACCACAGGAACTGGATGACTGTATTGAAGTTATTGATTGGATTAGGAAACAGCCTTGGTCTTCTGGCAATGTTGGTAAGATTTGAAGAAGGACAGGCAGCTTGGACATTATTATAATTATTAGTATGAAGTTTTAAATTTGCAATAATTAGTACATAACTCATAAGTTATACAGAAACAAAACTAATTTTACAATTTAAAATTTAGATGCGAGAAAGGTATTTATATAATACCTACAGTTAAACACGCAATTTGATTGGTCAATAGCTGTATAGGATCAGGCTATCCTGCACGAAGAACTATTAAAATGGGATTTTCGCGGGATTCTCGAAATGTCATTGTTTCACTGTAGTTATTTTATAAAACAATTACCAAATGGTTTTCCAAGCAGGATAGCGTGATCCATGCATTTGGGATGTTGCTCGACTTCCGGAAAGCGTAAAAATACACTCGCCTGCGGCTCGAGTATTTTTACGCTTTCCGAAAGTCTCGCGACATCCCTGGTGCATCATGGATCACGCAATCCTGCATGGAAAACCATTTGGTATTCCCTTAATCAGTTTAATGTTGTCATGCATACAGGGCCGCCCAGAGGTTGGCGGGGGCCCGGGGCAAATTTTTTTTTAGGGGCCCCTATCCCCCCCGTCGCCAAAAAATTTTCGGTCAGTGTACCATTTTAGGGGTAAAAAAAATTTTCCGGAGTACAAAATTTTGCCGGACGAGTACGTTGCAAATGCTTTCGAGGGACTTTATCTCATTTTTTATGCCAAAATTCGGTACTTAGCCCAAGAAAACAGATTTTCAGGGGCCCCCAGCAACTCGGGGCCCGGGGCAATTTGCCCCCTTTGCCCCCCCCCCCTCTGGGCGGCCCTGCATGCATAGTTCAAAAAAGTCACAATGACCTGTTTAACACACGAATCATACTTGGGAAAAAGCTTTCCTGAAAACGATCAGTTCTACATTTGAATGACGACCAGTTGTTAAGATTACGTAAATTATAGTTCACGTTTTCTCTAGTCTGAGGTAAAAGACGAGATAGCCAGTTACCATCAGTTATTTTTTAATCGTTCTTTCGCACAAAGCATCGCGTCTCTCATCTAGACGGGGACAATGGAGTGAGCTCAAAGCTTCTCGGCAAGACCTGTCTGCTCATTTATTAAAGTTGAATTATCAAGGCCTCGATTTGTGTTACCCCCTTCAATCTACGGCATTATGAGTTATGACGGTCAATCTAGTCAATCTTAATCCAATAATTATGAATTATTCTCCTTATTAGGCATGTATGGCAAGAGCTGGGGTGGTTTCAATGGACTTCAGGTAGCATCGAGGAATCCCGAGGGTTTAAAAGGGATCATATCTCTATACTCGACAGACGATAGATACGATGATAACTCGCATTGTAAAGGAGGATGTATCGTTCCTGCTCAGATGTTGTCCTGGTCGAGTAATATGCTCACATTTCTCTTGTCGCCTCCCGACCCACAATTTGTTGGTGCTAAGTGAGTTTTCAAATATTGGAATATTTTGTGGATATATGTGCGCCTGTCCTTCCCAGATTCATTCCATTGTTCCTGCTAGCTCAGATTCCTGAATGATATTTTAGATAACACTATGCGTCAAGGGTTGGGTCCTAAGGTAAATACAGATGGGATCACTATCAGTTGGGTCCATGCTGCCCCAGAGAAGTTTGAAAATCAGGTGTTCCAGATTTGATAACAATGCTTGTCTGTGATAGATAGATAGATAGATAGATAGATAGATAGATAGATAGATAGATAGATAGATAGATAGATAGATAGATAGATAGATAGATAGATAGATAGATTGTTTAATAATTCACTTTTTGCAGTACACTGTTACTGAATTGGTAAGCGATTACAATATAAATAAGACTGAATACAAATTATATTTATACATTTAAAAAATTACAACCTATGCTATGGCTTACTAAGAAGATTATAAATATTAAAACTAACACTAATTTGTTGAATTACGATTATTTATGTCTAAACAACTAACGATGACATACGAATTCTTAAAACGTTCAGTAAAGAATTTCGGAACATATATCTTCTTGTTGTTACGTGATTGGTAATTTAATGAAATATCTATTTTAGGGATTAAATTATGAAGTTTATGGTTCGGGTTATTTAAAATTTGATTTAAAAGTTTTTTGCAGGCAATTTGCCTTCTAGCGTACAATGACTCCATCCCAGCTTCCATCAATGTATCTTCGTAATGTAAGTCGGATATACAATTCGAAGAACCCGTTTTTGTACTCGTTCAATTTCATCACTCAATGTTATTTGTACTTACAGTACAAATAACATTCTTTTTATTGGTTAGAATTTTTCTTTGAATTTCTCCTTTTACTGAATTTTTAAAATCATCTTTCTTTTAAAATTTTAATATCTTAAGTTTGTAGAAATGTTTTCGGAGAACTCAAAAATTTTCTGGGACCAATGGTCCCATGGTTCGACATTCAATATTCACTGAGTGATTTTTCCCTTTCTTGACGGTTGTCTCTAGATGGAAAGATATGTGGTTGAAACGTTTAAAGCAAGCTGGAGAGCCCTGGGTGAACACATGGACTTCACATCAAACTAGAGACGAGTTTTGGAAACACGCTTCCATTTGTGAAGACTACTCCAAGGTAATGGGAACTCAGTAGAGACGGCGGAATTCGAAAAGGCCTTTGAATTTTCTTTGCTTTTACGTCAAATTTGACCCCAGAACGTTTCTTCATTTTGACTCTACAGCGTATAGTTTTAATTGCCCTCACAAACTAACAAAATTTGAATCAAATGATTGCATGTTTTCCTGAACAAATTGAATTGAAGACTTAAATTAAACATGGTATGTTGATTTCAGCTGATTTATTAATAAAGAATCAAAAACAGAAATACAGAATGCATAGTTTAATTTTTTTGAGCGTCTCACTCATTGAGCTGATTTTCCAACAGGCTATTGCCATAGATATCCTATATATACTAGATAGTGCATCTATCGGACTCAGGATATTCCCATGAAATGAGAAGATTCGTATGTTTTCTATTTCTTACCCACGGAACTTAAATATTAAGGTAAACCTATTCCAAATACATTTTATTAAACTATTCAAATGATGAAAGTTATTGTTGTTTTTTAAGCGTTTATTAGCGAGTGGGAAACACCAATATGGCCGCCATCTATTCAAATGGGGGTAACCGCTGGAATATTCTTGGCTTCAATTTTACTAAAAGAGATGCGCTATTTAGTCTATATATAAGATATCTATGGCTATTGCTCAATACACCCTTTCAATAATTACGTCATTTGGCCTGGGAGCCTCGCTCTCATGAATCATGAACCATTTACTGATGTCAATGTAAAGGTAGCTCTTTCTCCTCAGTAATTCATACATGTCCAATACCGTCGACATGATACGGATCGTGAAGCAGCTTCACGATCCGTCAAATTCGTACGGACGGTAAACACGAGTCACGATCCGTATCAACTCGTAAACGCAATAGGTGGTCTCCAATAGCAGATGCTTGTTGCCCAGATCTCAGTACCAACAGTTCGACGGATCGTACCGTTCGTACGGCTCGTAAGACGATTCACGATCCGACAAATCCGTACGGTCCGTACGAACTGTGAAATGGATTTACGGACCGTACGAAGAGTACGGTTCGTGAAAATGATTTACAGATCGTGAACCTATAATAACTTTAAACATTATAATATGCTGTTTGCTATATCAATATAATATGTAATTGTTGCTTCGTTCTTAAGAAACCACGAAACACAACATCGCCATCGACAAAGTAGTTTCACGATCCGTAAATCATCTTCACGAACCGTACGGATCGTACGGTGCGTAAAGTCATTTCACAGTTCGTACGGACCGTACGGATCATTGTGTTGAATGTTTTACCATCTTTACGATCCGAATACGTTCGACAGTATTGGACAACCATCCAGTAATTTTAAGAGGTCCGACCAAGGATTGAACCCAGGTCTCCCAGTTTGAAAAGCAAGCGAGCAGGTGACCCCGACACCATGCTTGCCTATAGGGCAAACATGCAATTTAGTGAAGCAATTAATTTCTAGCAAAACACGGTAGCGTAACGCTTATTAGGTAAGGTTAGTTAAAAACTAAGGGCTCCCGACAGTTAGGGGCCCCCATCAGCCACGGCCTATCGCCGAGAAAATTAGAAAACGTAAAAAATGCAGGTTAAGAATAAATGGGAAATGCAAAATTAATAATGCTAAAGAACTAAACCTCCATCAACAACGGTAGCCGATTTTTTTATTCCATCTCAAATAAAACAAAAGTTATTCTTATTAGTTGTTACATATGATGTTATTGTTATAGACACGGAATTTTCCAGAACATTCGGTAAATATTCAATATAAATATAATATCTCAGTCAAACAATAGCAACAGTCCCCTCTTCATCCGTTACCCCACTGGCAAAACAACTTGCCTGATTGGGCAACCAGTAAGCAACGTCTACTGGCCCGTAACCGTAATTTCCATTTTCTTTTCAGATAAAATGCGGAGTGTTCCTTATTGGTGGCTGGCTGGACTGCTATCACAACGCGGTGTTCCGTATGGCTGAAAACTTGACATGTGATTGGAAAGCTATGGTTGGTCCTTGGCCACATGATTGGCCAGACGACTGTGTTCCAGGCCCCAACATAGCATATCTGCCAGAGTGTTTAAGGTTCTGGGATTACCATCTGAAAGGAATTAAAAATGGTCTCGACAAAGAACCAAGGCTTCGCTTATACCTCGAACAGAGTAAGCGAAATATTAAGAGGCAGTTTTTCTATGTCGTGTATCTTTGATTAAAAATAATCGCCGTAATTAATCATAATCGTTATAAATAGACACTGATTTTCTTTTATCTTAAAGGTGTTTCTGTGTCACCAAAAATGGAAATCTGGCCCGGACGATGGATCGCTGAAGAACAATGGCCATCCCCAAATGTCTCAACCAAGAAATTTGGATTGACTCACAGTGGGATATTACAGGAAATGAAAGGTGATTAAATCAAAGTGAAAGAATGTTTTTGGGCTGTACTGAAGATGAGAAGTCTGGCATCTTGTTGATTGTCGCTCGACAGAAACAAGAGAGAGAATATCTTTAAAGAGAATATCTTTTGCTTGGCAAGATCTCAGCCAGGATTTTAAATTTGAGGAGTGTTTTTAAATTCCCAAGGAGTGTTTCTGCTAATTACATTGAATGGCTAAAGGAACGGTTATGGGCTCATGCATGTAGTTGTTCTCTGTGTTGCAACCAAATAGAAGCTCGCCTTACGCTCATATTTGAATAATTAATTACAGCGAGTTATTTTAGGTAGGAGCAAATTCTGTCTGTTCTAAGCTGGGGAAGCGATTTGATGAAGATTTGATGCTTTTACGCCATCTCTATAGAAACGAAAAATGAACGGACCGAATTATAGAAGGCTGATGTAAAATACAAGTATAGCGGGATAAGATAATCTGATTGAGGGCATGATTCCGGATTTATGAAGCTCGCTGTGAATTCTTGTTATGGATAAAGACAAGCTCGAGTATGAATCCTACATTAACCAAAAATGCATTCTTTCCTAGATTCCACCGTTGTTGAGCGAAATGAAAAAACATTGCTAATACCTAGTTCCTTTGCCTGTGGTTCTGCGGGTGGGTGTATGATGCCTGGAAATGAACCAGCTGATTTAGCCCAAAATCAGGCATGCGATGACGGGCTGTCCAGGTGTTGGCATGGTGATGTCGTGGACACAATAGATATCCTTGGTGCACCATCAGTACAACTTGAAATTAGTTCTGATAAACCTGTAGCTACACTTTGTGCCAGACTGGTGGACGTGTTTCCTGATGGAAAGGCAACACTTATTTCAATAGGTACTGAAATAGCATTTCACTGTTATGTATTTTACAGTATTGCATAGAAGTAACCTAAAACTTTGGATTATCGGATCGACCATCGCAAATGAACCTAAACTGAACCGCAAGCAAGCCGCGACATAACCGTCCTCGTTCCCAGGGCTTCACGGCCGCGCGCGACCTTCATAGGTCCTGGGATACACGGAACCGGAAGTGCCAGAAAACTTGCAGTCGTTTCTGAAGCGAATACTCTTGAATGTGGACGCTTCAGCACCGTAGCAATTTTCACAGGGAAGTATTAGTCAACTTCTGCGAAGTAGCAGTTCTCTGAGAAGCCAATCAGATCTCTCCCTTTGGTCGTCTAACCCCGAGCCTGATTTTCAACAAGTGACTGAGTGAATTAAAATGTCTCTGGGGACGAGAATGCGGCATAACCGCAAATAAACTACAGTCTAACGACAAACAAACCGCGCTTTCTTATAGGGCAATTTCCTTTAAGTGTTTTAAAAAATTGACAAGCCTTTTAAACTTATTGCGTCTTAAGGAAAGACTGTCCGATCCCAGCGCAAAGTATCTATATAAGAACATACTTGCACTGGCATCATAGCTAGACCTTGTGATGACCCGCACCGACTCCATAATATCCGATAAAATATCTAGGTACCTGCATATACGAACATACACACGCAAAAATTTCACATCTTGTTATAGGCGTACCGGAAGGAAAAATTTAGGGGGGCGGAAAAAAATTTGCCCGACTTTTTCGGATTTTGCCCGACAAGTACCCAAAAATTTTTTCCCGAATTTTTTTTTGGCGATGCCCCCCCCCCCCGTCGCGGGGTGTACCATTTTAGGGCTCCAAAATTTTTTCCGGACATATCAAAATTTTTCGGAACCTAACAAAAATTTTCGAAACATCACAAAATTGACCACAAAATTTACAGAATTTGTCCCATTTATTTTTATAATTAACCAAAATTGCCCGACTGTTCAGCGAAATCGGCTAACAAGTCCTCAACAAGTTCTGTTTGCATTGCAATTTGTTAACGGTTGTAACAACCTTGTTACAGTGCGTCTACAGTAAGTGGGGCCACTTAGGGAACACTAACCAATCACATTGCAGAACAAAAATTGAAAAATCAACAAACGGCGCATTAGCCAATCAGCATTGGGCCAAAAACAATTTGAACAAATAAACGAATGTCAAACGGTAAAAATAGACTTGTTGAAAAGTAAACACTGCAGTTAATGGCTTCCTGAATCTTTCTTTTGATTTGACGAGCTTTAGTTTGATTAGATTTTTCTTTTCGTTCTGCCATGCGAATGGTTAGTGTTCTCTAAGTGGCCCCACTTACTGTAAACACACTGTAATATTATTTGACTTGTTGCAAGGTTGTTCCAACAAGTCCGATACAGTCATGCATGATATAACAATGTTGTTACAACGTTGTGTTGCAAACCTTGTAACATTCGTGTTATATCATGACTGTATCAGAACTTTGTAACAAGTCTGATAATGCCATCAAGCTTGTTACAAGTTGTTAACAGCTTGTTCTAAACTTGCTACAGCAACTGGGAACAAGCAGTGCGAAAACAACTTGTCGACAGCTTGTGAACAGATTTGTAACAACTTGTTTGCAGACCTGTAACAACTTGTGCGTTTTTACGTGTGTACCTGCTTGTGCAGATAGTAAGTAGTATATCTCATCCTCTAGGTGTTCTAAACCTTACTCATCGCAATGGACATTCAGCAGACGAAATCAGCACTCTAAAAGCAGGCGAACATTACAACATTCAACTTGACTTGGACGTCGCGGGTTACACTGTCCATGCCGGTCACCAACTGCGCTTAGCTCTGTCCCAGTCCTATTGGCCTTACGGCATTTGGCCTCCACCATCTACTCCTGTCCTACAACTTCACTTCGTATCCCCACCTGTATTCACATTACCCCTCAGAAAACGTGGCGATGAGGTCAACAATAATGATGAGTTATTTAATGGGCAGTCTGTGGTGAACCCGCATGCATTACAAGTCAAAGAGATCAGAACACCTTCTTTGCAAAGGTCAGTTTTACGAGTCAAATATTCAGGTTGTAATTTAATGTCTGATACACACTAAATATACAAAATTTAACAAACAAGCTAACATGCCACGGATCTGTCATGAACCTGAGTCGGGCGAAAAACATATTTATGCCAGGTTGGACATTATCAAGTGCAGGGCCTATCAGAGAAATTCAGGGGCCCGGGGCAAATTTTTGTTTCGGGGGGCCTATTTTTTCCGCACATTAAAAAAAGGTAAAAAAAAATTTTTCGTCGAACTGATGTTAACATAAGGTTTAAAATTTTTTCCAGACAAATTCCTGTTACAACATGGGTCAAACCCTTTTTTTTTGGAAGTTGTATATGTTAAATTTTGGTTTAGAACATTTTTTCTCATACCATTATTTTTATAAAAAAACGTTAGAAATTTTTTTTTTTTATTAAATTTGGGGGGCCCCCTTAAATTGGGGCCCCGGGGAAAATTGCCCCCTTTGCCCCCCCCACCACTGAAAGGCCCTGATCGAGTGTAATTTTTATGAGGCGCTCTGTAGCTCAGTTGGTTTATAAGCCGGTTTTCCACCAGCGAATTTTTTCGCGCGAAGCGACCTTTTTCCTTTGTCGGCATCCATTTTGCCACGTCTTGCTGACGTAATAAGTGATACCGACAAAGGAAAAAAAGGTCGCTTCGCGCGAAGAAATTCGCTAGTGGAAAACCGGCTTAATGAGTGATACCGACAAAGGAAAAAGGTCGCTTCGCGAGAGAGAATTCGCTAGTGGAAAACCGGCTTTATTTAGAGCGCTGCACCGGAATCGCAGGAAGGGACCTGTAGTTGCATTTTTCCCAGCTGGTGCGGGTTACGTCTAATAAATGTATATAAAATTTACACTCGATAAATTCCACCTACATACCTTTTAATTCTTGTTCAATCGAGTGACATTCCAACAAAATCTCTATTTTTCAAGCTCGTCCGGTGTGGATATACACTCAGAGTAACATCACAAACATATCATATTCACCTGAGTACACAACACCAGCACAGAGAGATCATATTACAAGATTACATTGGTATCGAAGGAACTAGATTCGGTTCCGAAATATCACTTACTCGAACCGACCTGACCGCGTAGCTCAGTTAGCACAGCAATTGGGCTAGTATTCCAAAGGTCGTAGGTTCGATTCCCACCGTGGCCGGGCATATTTTTCAAGCTCGCCCAGTGTGGATATACACTCAGAGTAACATCACAAACATATCATATTCACCTGAGTACACAACACCAGCACAGAAAAATCTCTATATTATTTTGTTTTCTTTGCGAAATATTTATTTAACTTTGCCAAAGAACATGCTACACATGACATACACAAGACTTAAGCCCGTTCTCCGCTAGGCGAATTTTTTCGCGCGACGCGAAACGAAAGACAAATCTTGGCAATGTGATTGGTCAGCGAAAAAGTTCGCCGCGAAAAAGTTGGATCAGTTCCTACTTTTTTACTGTTCGCGCGAACAAATTCGCCTAGTGGAGAACGGGCTTTACACAAGACATACATAAACAGATGGCAGGTACGCGCTACAACGTTCGCCAATACACCCTTTCGATAATTACGTCACACATACTTGTTGGTCTTGGAGTCAGGGCCGCCGAGAGGGGGGGGGGGGATTGCCCCGGCCCCCCACCTTAATAGGGCCCCAACTTGAGAACGAGAGCCTAAAATTGAATAGGTTCTTTAAATTGGTCAGAGCATTTTTGAAATTGAGGGCCCCTTACAGTAGCTCCACATGCAGTCTAGATAAGGTCTAGTTGGGTGACTGACTTGGGTCTAGCTTAAAAATAATGATGTCATGGGGTCCCCAGCACGATTCATGAGAGCGAGGCTCCCATGCCAGGCCACATGACGTAATTATCGAAAGGGTGTATTACATTAAAACTATAAAATTTAATGACAACACGATATTTTACAAGACAGATTACGAGACTTGTTACAAGACAAACATATAGATTTCCATGTTCTTGGATCATCCGCATCGTAAACGTTTTGTACAGTTAATTGGTAATACTTGAAAAGTCCATGTTTGAACTGGCTTAAGCTGGGAAATATGATTATTATTATGTTATTTTAAACTATTTCTGCCGTTAAATGGTTTTTTCCAGATTTACAACATACGACGCACAAAGACAGTCCTACAAGACGACACTCGAAATGGACGATGGAGAAGTTCAGCGCCTCGACAACAATACTATCTTTGGAGTTTCCTTACATGAAGTATATAACGTCGTTGAAGATGAACCGCTTTCTGCGAAGGTAACCATAGAAACCAACACGCGTGTTGCACGGAAAGAGACTGGGACGGGTCAAACCGCGGAGCTATTTGATACGTTTGTCAACACGAAAAGTGTCGTATCCGCTGATGAAAGTCATTTTCATTCTGAATGTGAGGTAAAAGCGTGGTGTGAGAATGAGTTGGTTTTTGAAAATCGATGGAAGAAAGCTATACCACGTTTTAACGTGTGAATTATTGAATACTTGATTTGACGATCACAGACCTTCGAACTTTGCGAATTAAAAATGAGTGAGAACATGAGTATGCCTATGGGCACGCCCATTCCTCCCTCCTGACCCACCGCCCAACCAAATATGTTCAGATATCAGGCCATAGAAATGCAATTACCACAATTTATAATCCTGTTTCAATGAACGAAATCAAACAGTCAACAGTCAGACTTCCATTATACAAATTGTGATTGAACATATTAAGAGGCAATCTTTTTCTATGTCGCGTACTTGCGATGAAAAGTCGGTTCAAAACCTAAAATCTTTTTGGCGTACCTTTCGGCTCAAATTGCTTTGTTTTAGCTTTATTTTCTAGTTTATACAGTTAGCTATCTTCTTAAATGCATTTGTCTGTTGAGAAACATAAAATAAGAGGAGAAAATTGTCAATTAAAATACAATTATCAATGATGCTTTAAAAGTGACGCCATATTTACAGCAATATACGCAAAACTTATTGAACTCAGTCAGACATCATTTTCTCTTTGGCGTACCGTCCGAAAATCTCTTCATTTTAGCATTATTTTACATATAAAGCACTAAACATTTTTAAGGTTGTTTGCCGATTGAGAAGCGTCCCGAAAAATAAACTAATTTTGAAGAAAGTTATAACTGAAAGTGGTATATTATACTGACATGTTACAATTTTAGCGCTCTTTGTCTTCTGTCAGTTCTGGTATAAACGCAAAATAAATGGTCTAGAATGCGTGTGAGCGTGAAATAGATGCCAAATCATATGTCTCACGCTTTATGAGAGTTGGAAGGTCCACGATCACCGCTTAGGGACCAGTCATTATTTATGGCGGGGTTGTGCCGAAGAGAAAATGGTGGGGTAACTGAAAAATAATACTTGTTTTAGGTGGGGTGGCCAAAAAATCCTTTGCATGCAAAGTTGAATGATTGCAGTTGTTTGAGTTAGAGTGCATGTCAGTCTTATGAGTAAGCACTATAAGATATAACATTCACCAATCTTCATAAATGTGAAACTCCTTTAGTTCTGTTGCATGGCATTTCCCTACGGGCCCACTTCAAGCTATTATTTATTATGAATTTGTCATTTCCATTGAAAGGAAACATTCTACACAAATCATATTTTGAGCATGCAAATTTCAAACCTTCAAATAACTATAATCGTTATAACTAAATAGTACCTTGCAATATTGTAGGGGTAACCTATAATAAGGCACGATGCTCGCTAGCATGCCCCACATGATTTTTACTGTGCTTTATTCCACAAGAAAAATGGGCAAGGGGTATTGGATGTTGGGGTTAACAAGTATATGTTTACCAATCAATTCCATTCCCTTTTAATTATTATGGCGCCATTATGGTCAAAGCACCCTACATTATAATGCCTCTTTAACAGCAGATGATCATACTCATGGGCAATTTTCGACCTTAATGCATGGGTAATATGCATACAAAATACCAAACTGTTTCATCAGGGATTTTATGTCTGGACCTTTGACTTTGCAACAAAATAGGTTTGAGTGGGGTAAAACATTTTTCCAGTATTCCACTAGTTAATGTTGGGTAGCTAGAATTTTTGTTTCGAACAAAGTGGGCTAACGCCTAAAGGTTTTTTCGGCTTCATTATACTTTCTCTTCGACCCCGGCCCGGCCATAAATAATGACCGGTCCCGTTTTGATTGAAAGTTTGAGAAATTAAAATTTTGCAATCGGAATTTTTAAATTGAACATTTTTATGTAGAACCAAGATATAGAACTCAGACAATATTTGAACTATGATTAAATTAAGTTGATTGAATTATCAGTACCGATCATTTTTTACCAATTGTAAATATGTAAATAATATATATATATATATATATATATATATATATATATATATATATATATATATATATATATATATATATATATATATATATATATATATATATATATATATATATATATATATATATATATATGAAGATTTTGAACTTTACTCGTGGTAGACCTTTGGTCACACGAGAATGGGGAACCTTTTCGACATTCCACGTGCATTGTATTAGACAATGTTTCGTTCAGTACCGGTTTATACAATTTTAAAGAGGTTTCCCTTGAATTTTACAAGATTCTAAAAGTATCGTGGTATATTCTTTGAGTGAACGATATCAGATGCAAGTCAGCAGGGGGAACATTTATAAACTTACTGATTTAATTGCGTAGACATGGTGTATTTTGCTACGAAATATGCGAAACACTATCCTTCCCCTCGCGAAGCTTTGTTTCCGGCTCCTACAGATGTTAAATCTGAGGAAATTTTTGGGCCGCCATCTTGTTTTTTCTACTGGCAGGAAATCGAAGCTATTAGCATATACTCCGACTCTGGTGGCTCTGGTCAGTCACGCAAGATTGCAGACGAGCAAATTTTGGGCCTGCGTGGCAGGCCCTCAATTTTATGGGGTTGGAATAAAAGAAGCTGCGGTTTAATTAAGCCGTTTTGCCAAACTGACATGAAGGACCATGAAGAACTGTTTTGTTTACAACTATTGCTGATGAAATACAAAAATATTTTCGTTTTTTTCAGTCATTTTCGTTTTGTGATGGTAGTGCTTTGTAATGGTATATTCACTCGACGCTTCGCGTCACTATTCCCCACTTCGGTGAATAATTGTTAATTATCCTGCTAGCAGACCCAATCAAATTGCGGAATAGCTTATTTAAATATATAATAATATTTAATTATATAATTTATTCAAAACACGCGCGAGACATCATGCATTCATGCGTGAAGTGTTGCAAAACTTACAACACATTGAAGTCACAGCAGAAATATCATGTACGAAATACAAACACAGGCCTGTGTTTGGATAACTTTAAAAGACTCAGCTCGTCTCGCTGCCAAGTTATGGATACCCGTGACAAAAACTGGACAAGAAAATGAGAAATTCCCAGCAATTTTAGGTAAGATAGTCAAGATAATCCACATGCGTAAAATTGATCCACAAGACCACAACTGTATAATCAACGACTTTAATACTTGATTTAATATTAAATGCGACAGTTTGACAGGAAAATGTGTTAAAAATAAACACGAGGGTCTTTGAAAACTGGGGCTTCAAAATGTTGTATTAAGACTGTTGTACGTTATTATGCATGAGGCGGGGGGGGGGGGATTGTTGGTGATGGGGGGAGGAGGGATATTTTCGTTTTTTTCAGTCATTTTCGTTTTGTGATGGTAGTGCTTTGTAATGGTATATTCACTCGACGCTTTGCGTCACTATTCCCCACTTCGGTGAATAATTGTTAATTATCCTGCTAGCAGAGCCAATCAAATTGCGGAATAGCTTATTTAAATATATAATAATATTTAATTATATAATTTATTCAAAACACGCGCGAGACATCAAGCATTCATGCGTGAAGTGTTGCAAAACTTACAACACATTGAAGTCACAGCAGAAATATCATGTACGAAATACAAACACAGGCCTGTGTTTGGATAACTTTAAAAGACTCAGCTCGTCTCGCTGCCAAGTTATGGATACCCGTGACAAAAACTGGACAAGAAAATGAGAAATTCCCAGCAATTTTAGGTAAGATAGTCAAGATAATCCACATGCGTAAAATTGATCCACAAGACCACAACTGTATAATCAACGACTTTAATACTTGATTTAATATTAAATGCGACAGTTTGACAGGAAAATGTGTTAAAAATAAACACGAGGGTCTTTGAAAACTGGGGCTTCAAAATGTTGTATTAAGACTGTTGTACGTTATTATGCATGAGGCGGGGGGGGGGGGATTGTTGGTGATGGGGGGAGGAGGGAGGGGAGGGGGATTGTTGGCAACAGCACAGTAGCCCAGGCTCTGTGGGGGTATTTATTTATTTTTAATTTTATTATATTTTGCATCAAAAATTTACTTTAAATTACTTATATAACTTAGTTTTCTTTATGTATTCTATATGTTATTTGGGGGGTGGTTTTTAATAGACAGTTTGATATAATGATATAAAAAACATCATGAGAATGTAATCTGTGAGAATGCGATTTAATGTACACTTTAAATATATATTGGAAAATAGTAAAAAAAATAAATGCCTAAATATGCATTATGCACTGATTCACAATATTGGTGGACTTACTTGTTTACAATGCCATTTACTTCACTATTGTCGATTTTTAGGCCATTTTGTTGAACCCGCCCTATATTGTATATCTAATATGTAGCTGTGACACTTGGCAAAGCTGGGCAAGACCTAAAGTTCAACAAAACTTGCCAATAAAATCAGTGCTGGAAATTCACTTTTTCCGGTTGGGGGGGGGGGGCAAAGCCTCCTAAATTTCCGACAAAACCTTCAAATTTCTGACAACCCCCCCCATTTGCACTCGAAAATGCTGTTTTTAGCCCTCTTTTAGGTCAACATTTCCGAACATTTGTCAATTTTCTGTAAGGGGGGGAGGGGGCATGGTTGTCCCCCCCCCCACCCTACTAAGATTTCCGCCACTGGATGAAATATTGCCAAACGCTAAAAACTGTGGCTATACATATTTATGTAAACTTTATTTAATCTTTCCAACTTGTAAAATCCTTCCCCTCGCTTTTCCATGAAGAATTAAAACGACTTAAATTAACCCGTTGAGCCACAATGCGCCCCAGTGTGCCCAACTTATTTTTTTTACTTGTCCAATGCCAGACGATTTTACTTGTCAATGGGGAAGCTCTGCAGCTTGATGGGTTAACCAAAAAATCTGACAATGTCTCTAGTTAATCTATTGAGCGCAATGTACCTCAGTGCGCCCTACTTATTTTCTTGCTTGTCCAATGCCAGACAATTTTACTCGTCAATGGGGAAGCAGGGGCGAAACTTGAGGGAGGGGTATGGTATGGGGTGTGTGGCACCCCCCAAAAATACGAATCATCCTGATTGGTAGGGCAATCAAAGATTTTAAATGATAGAATGTAGAGTTATTAAGTAACAGTTATTACAGCTAGCAAACAACTAAGCAGTTCGTATGCATATACATTGGCATCGGCAGTTCAATTATACACGTAGCTTAGTGATGTATTGTATTAGCGCTGGCGCTGCATGCTGCAGGGCATCATTGGTCAAAGCAGGGCAATTCTGCCAGACACCCCCTGATTAAAAGGGGCTAGTTTCGCCCCTGTTGGGAAGCTCTGCAGCTTAATGGGTTAAAGCTGCCTTAGCCTACCTTTGTGTTATTGATAGTGGGTAACATTAGATGATATACAATAAAATACAGGGCGGGTTTCACAAAATGGCCTGAAAAACAACGAAAATAAAGAAAATGACACAGTAAACAAGTAAGTCCACCAATATTGTGAATCTGTACATATTTAGGCAATATTTCTTTTACTATTTTCCAATATATAAACTTAATAAAGTGTATATTAAATCGCATTCTCATGATGTTTTTTATATCATTTATATATCAAATTAAAACCACCTCCAAATAACATAATAAGAATACTTAAGTTATACTTTGTAATTTAATTAAAGTAAAGTTTTAATGCAATATAATTTTAAAAATACCCTGCACTACCTGTGGCAAAGGGGGGCGGGGTTCAGACCTAATATATCTCCTTCTTTCTTGATGTTTTTAATTAATCTAAATTTGCCCAATTTTTAAGTGGAATTTTACCTTTTCAGAAGTTTTACTTTGATCCTTTTTTTGAGAGGAGGGGACTACTTTTACTTCTGAGGGTGAGAGGAGGGGGTTAGGGTTAGGTGGGGTTAGGGTCTAACTAACGAATATACTTCAATCAATCAATCAAACCTATGAGCTATATACAGGAGGTAGCTCCTTGCAGGAGGATCGGAAGGTTAACCCTAGTATATATAAGAACCCCCTTGGTTATGACTATATTCAAATTTTTAAAAAATTGTCAATTTGATTCAATTCGATACAAAGGCAAACAAACTTAAAAAGTATATGTTTAGTGAACGTATGCTTTATCTGTAAAATTATGCTATAAAAATGAAGAGATTTTCGATGGTACGCCAAATAGAAAATGATGTCTGAAGTTCAGAAATATGTATACAGAGTGTATAAAAAGTAATACAAATTTAGCATGCTATTGTGCATTAATTTCTCGGTCAGTCTCGGTGTATGTTGAACATATTTTTTTCATAATCATAAAGATCAGGCTTTTAACTGTTGGATGACATGTTTTTCGTCCCATATGCCATATGGAGAAAAAATGAGCAAATACGAGTCCGATAAAAAGTGTTCGTCTAAATCCCATATTTTTTGACTCCCATATTTTTGACAACAAATCGGGCTGGAGCACGAGTTCGTTCTTTTGATTTTGCAAATGAAGCACGACAAATGGGTGAAATGGCAAAATCGCACGGTGCCCGGTTTGCAAAAACAACTGCAAACTGCTCTAATTCTTTCTGTCACTTTCGTTTGATCTCATCCGTGAGTCGGCCTCAACGGCCTTTGATCACCTCTGCGTCTAATTAAAGCAGTGCACGACAAAAGGAAAAGTAATTAATCGCGAATGTGTTCTTTTAACAAATGAATGAGCTTTGAGCTGGTTTACTGTACCAGATGTTTATAATAATTATGTATATATACGCAAGCATTTTATTGAAGTGAAATTCCTCAACTTAAGTCCAAAAGGGAGTTAACTTTCAATAGTTTTAGACCCAATTCTCAACGGTGAAAATATGTAATTTTGACAAGCAATTTTTATCGGACTCGTACTTGCTCATTTTCTCTCAATATTGGATGCAAAATACCACTATCAGTGTTATCTTTCAACTAAATTCTAAAAGCCTGATCTTTATGATTATGAAAAAATACGTTCGTATACCATGTACAGTAGAACGGTTAAAATAATTGAAGATTTTGCGACAAGGCCAAGGGACAGGTGACAACTCTTCAATGGACCATTTGCATTATAGACTAAATTTTGATCAAAACAAGTCTAGACAAATATTTCATCACAGCTTGAAAGAGCATCACAAAATTAGTAATATTCCGAAGTTTCGTTGCGAAATGTTGTAAAATGCAGATAATATAGCCCTGCGAAGTTTGCCGTTTTTCAGTCATTTTGTATTACAAACGAGAAATTGACAGCCCCAAAGGGTATTGGGCTGTCAATTTCCCCCGCGTAATGCAAAATGACTGAAAAACGGCAAACTTCGCAAGGCTATATTATCCGCATTTTACAACATTTCGCAACGAAACTTCGTAATATTACTGTAATATTACCGTAATATTTTGTGTTGCTCTTTCATGCTGTGATGAAATTTTTGTCTGGACTTGTTTAGATCAAAATTTAGTCTATAATGCAAATGTCCATTGACCACCTAATGTGCGTATTTCTGCAGTGTGTATAAAAAGTGATTTGATTGTTCTTTACTGCTTTGAGTTAATGTACGCAACGAAAACATGTCTTATTTACAAAAGAGATCAATTTTACTTCATTTTAATGCTGCTTGTACTGTACAGGCCGGTATTTGATTGAGTTATTCGTACATGTCCCATAAGTAGAAAGTCTTTTGTTCTACGGCTCGCTAACTTGTTCGCACCAATTATGTAGCGGTGATCGCTAGATAGTATACTTCAAAATAAGGTTTCCGTTTTTAAAACAGTGGCGTAGCCAGAACGATAATTGGGGGCATATTCGTACCTTTGCTTTTTTTCTTTTGAAATCAATTTGCTTACAAGGAACACCACTTAAATATGAATACAGCCCCCAATTATCGTTCTGGCTACGGCACTGTTTTAAAACGTAGAAAAAACTATCCTAACGCAAAACTAAACCCTAACCCTAATAGTAACCCTCATCCTAACCCCAACCTAACCCTATAACCTAAACCCTAACCCTAACTTATTT